TCTCTGCCACCATCTTCACCATTTGCTTCCTGCTTGAATTTTAGAAGATGAGAAGAATATCTTATTGAAGAGCAATTTCTTCCCATGGGTAATGGAGTCAGAGGGGGTTTCTCAAGTGCATGGTAGTTCACTGACACTTATACTTTAAATACCATAATTTTAAATACCATGACAGTTCCCTTTTGTGAAATGTAAATACAGATTCATCTTAATCTCCCAGTCTTGGATTGCTTCTGCCATGACTAGGTAACAAATGAAGAGCGAAACTGGATGGAATTGATCCTTTCTGCCATAGGTTCAGAAACGACTCGGATGGCAGTTTTTTGGGATGTTTTTTGTACTTGCTGTATTGAATCCAGGCTGGATCTGCTATTTGTGTAGCCTTTCTTTAGACACAGTTTTGTAAGTTGCTGTGTGATTTCTTGATGTATTTCAAATATGTTCATCAGCCCTTACTCCTGCCCCTCCAGTGTGTGGTCTCTTAGTTTCTTAGTTTCTGGAAACCTGGGTTCAGGAGGGCTTACCAGTTCCTTTAAAAACAACCAAATTCTCCCTTCCCTTTGCTTTAGCTGGTTATAATACTGTAAGGTCAGATGATCCACGTGTGCCTGTGTCCTTTTTCACTTCTCTTCTGTCATTTCCTGATATCCCAGTAATTTTTATTATCCTGAGCCCATTTCAACCAAGCGTAACAGAGAAGAACACAGATTGCAGAGGTAATGCTGTCCTTGAAAGTTTCTCAAGGCTGACATCACTGAAGGAGCTGAATAGATGGCTGCTTTTGGGTAAACGTAAATCTTACCACATGCAGATTTGCCTGAAAACTTGAAACTTGTGCGGTAGGAGACACAGTGATGATCAAAGGAGAAGAAAACTCTTTTTGTAACAGTCATGCAATGGGAGGAGGAATTGCAGAGGAATGCTGGAATAGTGCAGCAGATGCCTTGAATGTCCTATAGGCAGTCATGGTCCTGGTATATCTATATCTGTTACCTATGAGGTGCTGAAGACCTGAAGAAGATGGATAGCCCCTTCATGTTCAGGGTATCTCCAGAGATCACTGCAGAATGGAAAGGTACGTTTCTGCTCTGGAAGAAACGATTGTGCTTTCCATAGGAACCTTATGAGCAATAACCAAACAGTGCTTGAAAACCTCAGGAAAACTCTATCAGAGAACAAAAAGAATGTAAAATTGAAAATCAGGAATTCCTCAGTGGAGTTCTCCAGAGTCAAAGGATGTGACTTGGACTAAGCTGTTACTGTTTTCTCATTTTTCCTGCATTTATGGGCAGCATATGAGAAATGCATTTTGTGTGTGGAATTGGAACTTGGAAAACTAAGTTCTGTTTGGGAGCAAGACTTGTGTGTAGTAAATGGCTAGCTGTGTGACTAGTCACTATGGTGTTTGAAATGCTCTTTTATATTTGCAGGGTCTCCTAGGTAAGTATAGGTTTGAATTTGGATTGGATTGTGTATATATGAGGCCTATTGCAAATAGGAAGAATTGCATTTGGGTTTTGTTTGTTATTTTTTCCTTCCCTTGTTAAAAAACAATAAGATCAGTGGACTATATAAAAAGGAAACAGACATGAGTTGAAGGTGTTTAGTTTCTTGTTTGTTTTTGGTCTCTGGTTACTAGTATGTGTTCTTTTGTTAAACAGTTATTTGAAAACAGAATTCGCTTCTTCTCTGGCTGCTCACTCAGGAGGAGGAGATAGGAAAAGGTCTGGGGAGAAAATATGGAACTAAAAATTATATAGCTATCTAAGTAATACTTACATTAAATAATTGTCCTGAATGGATTCTCCCTCTTGATGGGGTATCAGTATGCTTTGGACAGAAGAAAGAGTTCATTTTCCAGAAACTTGACTTTGTTCCGGATCATTCCAGCATCTTTTTCTTCCAGGTGTGGTCAAACATTAAATATTGCTTATGGCTTTACTGTGGTAGGTCAGTGTAATGCACAAGATGTGCTTTGGGCCTTCTCACCTTTCAGGGCCAGGATAGCTGAGAGTGTGAAATGGAGCTCTTGCAGCATTCACCGCCTCTAGCTCTGATCAGGAAAGTGCAGGCACATGACTTCTGCTCTTCCAGAGCCAGAGGCTCAGATTTTGACAATTCACAGTCTGAAGTCTGCCAGGAGGAGTAAGGCTGCAAGAGTAAGAGATGGTCCATGTTAGAAATTTTAGAAGTAAATAATTTTGAAGCCTTAATTTGGCAGGGTTTTCAGAGTGGATAAAGGATAGCCTCTGAATTCAGACCTCAAATGACTGAAGTAAGCCTGCTTGAAGAAGTGGGATCCAGTAAATGTTAACAGAGGCAGAAGCACAGTCACTTTCCACTTTCTTAGTTCTTCTTCCTCTTGAAACTCTTGGAACTTCTCCCTTTTCTCCCTTCCTGGAATTGTTCTGGCTCAAAATACACCTATAAAATAAGATGATGTCCAGAAGCAGTCATTGGGTCTGGGAAATGTAAATTCACTATATGGTTTCAAAAAGATGTTAGCTTTTATAGAAAGAAAAACAACAGCAAATGAAAAAAAAAACAACACATGAAGCATTGGGCAACTCTTCACATACATGCTACTACCACACGCTCCCAGCAGCAGTCTGGCTTCTTAGTGTGTTAGTACAGACTGCTTGCTCTGATAACACTGAATCTGTTGCTGAGGTTGTTTTGCTGCTTTTTGTTTAAAGACTGGGAGTATGATGATACCTCAGTCCTTGTGGTTACTGAATTATTTAGCTAAGACCAGTCTACCTCAGAACTCTTGACACAGAAGTTGCTCTTTGAAGTTGTGTGGAGAATTGCCGGGGCTCAGATGTCTTGGCTGAGGGATTTCTGTTGCTAGTAGTGTGAAGCACAGCAGCTACTTCAGGGTAATTTATCACCTGTTTTCCTACAAAGTAATGGCTCACTTTCTTTTCCCCATGTGGACCTTGGATACTCTTCAGAAAAAGTGCTAGTTGAATATGTGAAATTCAGTGATACATCCTATTTTACACTTCATAATTCTAACTAAAAACTACTGGTATAATAACAAAAAACATATAAGAGAGGAACTGCAGGAACTTGCTTTTGGTGGACACTAAATCAAGTGAGAATTACTGTAGTTGTGGTTTAAAACAGTTTATATGCACTCTGTTGAGTGATGGAAGAAGGCTTTACTACAGCTGCACTTAGTGTTTAACCTTGGAAGAGAGGATTCCTTACAAAGTAATGCTAAAACTGTTTATCCCTATTGGATACACTTCCTTTCTTAATGTACTCTGGTTGCCTCTGACCTTGTCCTGGCCTTATAAAACTGCACAGATTGGTGTGTTGATGTGCCAAAGAGCCACATAAAATACTTGCATGTTGCTGTTATCCCCAGATATGTCACATTTCAAAACCTGTGAGTTGTAAACACATCTTGTAGATTTGAGGAAGGAGTAGGAAACATTTACTCAAAGGCCTGCGAGCTATGGATCTGGCTTCTTTTCTGGTGTTCTGTCATCATTGGTCTGTGCATGGTGTTACCACGTGACACCATACGCACCTTCCCGCAGTTACCAGCATACTCTTTCTTCAGAGACTGCCTTTGCTTTAGAGTGTACTTTCTGAACAGTTCAATGTCTTGTGATGTGGTCCATTGTGTCATGGGATAATTTGAAAAAGAAATAGGGAGAAAAAAATGTAACCACATCTCTTGTTGTAAAATTGTTTTTTTTTGCTTTAGGAGTTGTTTTCTTCTAGGCTGATGGTACCACAAGACTTAGCTGGTGCTTGCCCTGAGCATCATGGTGGAAGCATCTGCATCACTGTAGCTAAGGGCAGTGTTCTCTTCTTGCTGTAAAGAGTTGCTGTGCAGTGAAGTAAAAAATGCGTAGTACTTGAGACCATAATGAGATTCATTTGTTAAACACATTTTGATGCTATTGTTAGTATTTAGTGTTTCATGAACAGCTGTGCTGGTCCTGTGAAATAGATGTAGTTTCTGTCCCCAAGAACTGCAGCAAGAGATGTGTTTTTTGTATATCTCATGTTCCCTTTGCACTCAGTTTTATATAAATTATACTGAATAAAGGCAGTATTAATTATAGCATTGTCTTTTTTGAGTTTGGCTTTTTCAGCCTGAAAAATACTTCTATGAGCGTCTCTTGTCTTTCTTATTCTCACAAAGACACTAATTCGCTTGATATCTCTGTATTCTTCATTTTCTTCTTCAGATATTTCCTTACTCTTTCTATAACTGTCATTGTCCAAATTTGCCTACAGATCCCAAATTCTTAGAAGTTTCTGCAGTGTTCATTATCTCTGTCTTCCTTGGGCACTTCAGTGCTTGGCTTCTCTGAGCAAGCAAGAGAAGCTTGATGGTGTACAAGATCTAGACTTCTGGTGCTGTTTAGTGGTTGTGGACTAGCATGACATAGAGCTATAGGTTGTGGTGGGGGGTTATGACTAGTCCAGATAGACCTTTGCCTCTGAGGGTTGTTGTCTTCTACCTGAGGATTGGCTTACCTCTCTGTCTCCTGGACTTATGCCTGGGCCAGTGACATTTACCACAGACGTTCATGCAAAGAGGTCAAGTTGGTCTTGTTTTCTGGGAAGTGCGACCCTCTGTGTTAACAGTTTTACTCCAGTGTAGAATGTTGGTTAAATTCATGTGGGTCTTTAGGGGACTGTTAGGAGTACCTGCTTGGCAAATTTAGAAATTGGTACTCCAAAGCATTGAGCAATTTAAATTTGTTTTGAGAGGCCATTTGACTGGCCATTTAAGTTTGAATGTTTCAATCATTCTGGAAATTACACAAATTGGAAAAAATTCAGCCCAAGCAGGTGAAATCTCACAAATATACTTAAAGTACTTGAAAGCAGGCCGTAGGGAACTTGGAAGGCACCTAACGTGTACCAGCAGTGCTGCATAGAGCACTCTAAACTGTACTGCTACAAAAGCATCTCTGACCTTTGTAAATTGTTACCCTCACCTCTGCCCACTTCTGTCTCTTATCTTCTCCCAGCAAAAGCCAAATCCAAATGTGGCGCCACATTCTTCCCCTGTGCCAGTGGGATCCACTGCATCATTGGCCGCTTCCGCTGCAACGGCTTCGAGGACTGTCCTGACGGCAGCGATGAGGAGAACTGCAGTAAGTGTGGGTCTGTGTGTGAGTGAGGGCACTGCTGCTTCTTTCGACTAATTAACACCACTTAGAATTCGGTAGCCTTTAGTTTCTGAGTCAAATATTCTCCCTGTCGTTTACAACCCACATAATTCTTGTATTTTCACTTTATATCAGGCCGTTTTTGGTTTTTTTTTTTTTAAGGTCCAGCTCACTCTTGCTTTGCATACAATGCCTGTATGATACTTCAAGCCTCTTTGTGACTTTGAAATGAATTTGTGACTTTTGAATGAGTTTTAAGCTTCATGTTTGCTTTGAACATGTTCCCTGTACTCAAATGTAACTCAAATTGGGCAAACATTAAGTATCACTTTGAATTGTTCCATTTTTATTTGCCTGTTTCTTGTCACTGAAGAATATGATGTATTTGTTAATCAGTACGTTTAGGTGTCTCTGTTTATACATGTTCTCAAACAACAAAAAAGCAAATAATGGCATATTTTGAGAAACAGGTTCTTGAAAGAAGGAGGTTTTTGGAGGTAGGCATACCTGCCAATGTGCTAACTTCACAGAATATTCTGAGTTGAAAGGGACTCACAAAGATCATCAAGTCCAGCTCTTATGTGAATGGCCCATATGGGGATTGAACCCACAACCTTGGTGTTATTAACACCATGCTCCAACCAGCTAAGCTAATCTCAGACTGAGCTGCTGTTCAGCAACTTGCAGGGAAGTTGCAGCACAGAGTTCATCTGAAGTACTGCTTGACTTGGGCTAAACTCTGTGCATGTGGCTGTGTAGATCCTTTTGTGTCTGTAAGTCTAGCAGGGATATATCACAGCAGTAAGGAAAAGTTATGTTCAAGCCAGCAGCTCTGTTGTTATTATCAAGAGCTGGTAAAAGCATGGGTCTCTAGGTAAAAGCTTGCAGGAAAATACTTGCTCGCTATCTTGTTGGAGCTTGCTGAGTATTTCTTTTTAATAACCTTTAAAGGTCAGGAGGAGGACAACAGACACCAGCTTTCAAAGATAACAAAAGGGGCGATCTTTACAGTAATCTATCACTGTTTGCTTCTTGCCTTTCTTGTTCATGTGCTTTCCCCCACAGCATGAATATCTCTTAAGGTGCCATCTGTTGTTGGCTTAGAGAGTCTGGTTTGAGCCCTGGGAAGACTGTGGCAGTGATATAGCACTTCTGCAGAGCAAGTGAAGCTAGAGGAAGATTGAAGGCTCAGGAAATTCCTCTGGGTTATGCTTAAACAAATGGACTAGAAAAAAGTTTTGACAAAAGTGCTTTGAGTACCCTTGAGGTGGTGGACTGACAAGCAGCAGGTCTCAGCTGGAGGTGCACAAGCTCCTGAAGTTTGTTATGAATGAAACAATCTCCCGTGAGCTTGTAGTGTGTAGCTCCAACGCTGCCGATCTCCCCGTTTCTTATGCCATTTAAGCACACTCTTGGTATTTTCTAGCATGTCTAAATGTCAGTCACTGCTTATGAAGAGGAACAACAATGTAGGCCCTAAGGTGACCTCGAAAATCAATGGGGTGCAAGTGTGCAGCAGTTTTAAAGCAAAGGAGCTTTAGCACATTCACGATAAACATACTTTTGGGAAGCTGGAGAAATTGGGAGTGTTTGTTACATATACTGCAGGTTATATGTAGAGAAGACTTTAAAGTTTTATATTTTTTTAAAGACTCTTTAAATCCAGCTCTTACTTTAAAGAATAAAAAATAGGAAACCGGTTAGTATTTGGAAACTGAAATACCCTTTGTTATTGTGGCAGAGAAGCAGTTTGAAGCAGACAGGGTGTCTAAACAGCTTTTTTAAGGTTTTCAATTGGAAAGTTGCATTCAGTTTGTCACCTCATTACCAAAAACTGTTGGGAGTCAGAGAAGAGTGCCAACAATGATTAAGGGAGAGAGGTTGGTTTATGAATAGATATTAAAAATGGCTAAGTTATGCATATCTTGACTAAGCAATGACTGTGCTGGAGATTAAGGCTATATATGATTTATATGAAGGGTGCAAACGCTGTTCAAGGAGGGAACGTGTAGTTATATGTGCTGGGCTATAGCTAAGAGTAGAGGGTTGAAATGAGAAAAGAGAAATATGTATCAAGAAAACCTCCTTGACAGTGAGATGCATTGAAGCTGTGATGTAATCTGCTAGAAGTGTTGAAAACTGCACTGCTTGAAGCTTTAGATGAAAATAGGTGTAGCATCTTAGAGCATCTTACTGCTTGGGTTTGGCATGGGTGAGAAGACTGCTCTACCTAAATGAGTCTGCTTAAATACTATTCTGATTTTGCTCTCTGTGCAACAGTGGGTCTTATGTGAAAGGATTTTCTGGGTGCTACTGTAATGTGCATATTACCCTTAAAAAGGAGTTGAAATTCAAACAAGGAGAAGTTGAGAGATCTCAGCAGTGCCATTGTATCAATTCAAAATAGCGAGGAGAATGGGGAAGGAGGAAAAAAACAGAAGCAAGGTAAATAAACCACTGCCTGGCAGTTCTCAGCCAGGATCATTGTCTGATAATAAGAAAATTAAACTAAACTGAGTTTGTTGAAGAAGGAATCAACAGGAGGTGTTTATGGTAGGCAGTTCAAGTCCATATGTCTTCAGTGTGAGCAAATGTGGAAGAGTGATCATGATCGGGGCTCTCATGAAAATGAACAGAAGGCTTATCACAACTGTGGTTGGAGTAAATCTCTGCTAATTGTAATGAATCTTGCACGAATTAGAAGTTTCAGCTTTCCCTGTTTAGAGGGAAGGTTGTTTGATTGCCAAGTTACTCTCACATATTCAGCAGATTGACCAACTGTTGAGTTGTGACCTGTTGTCATTGATTGCTTGTGGGCTATTTAACTGCCTGGGTAAGAGAATTTCTAATGAAAGATCTCACTTTCTCTTTTTGCAGCAGCAAATCCCTTGCTTTGCTCTACTGCCCGATTCCACTGTAAAAATGGTCTTTGCATTGATAAAAGCTTCGTGTGTGACAGTCAAAATAACTGCCAAGACAACAGTGATGAAGAAAGCTGCGAAAGCCCTCAAGGTAGGCACAGAGTTTTTATTCTATTCTGCAATGGTATTCCAACTCAAATTAATGCGGAACAGGCTCAGCAGAAAATACGATTCTGTTGGCTTGCTCTGAGTTGGCTGGAGCTGCGGTTTCCTCATTCTGCAAATAATGAAGTGTGTAGAGTGTGTGTGTGTGTGCATGCATACATTTCATTTCCAGTGCTCAGAAGACTGGTATCTTTTTCAGATTAGTAAAAACACATTTTTGCAGGAAGTGCTTGTAATCTGTGATCCAGTGCTCACTGAAGTTGCTGGGAATCCATTTAGTAACTTCTGCGGGATGGATTGGACCCAGGAGGATTGATAGTAAAAGTACAGTTGAAAGTGAATCTGTCTATTTACCAGATGAGTAAATCTTGTGTAGTCTTAAAACTTTAGATCCTCACTGCTCAGTTACTTTTTGGAAGGCATGTTTCACTGCAGGACAAGTCTACAGTGAAAGCATTTATTCCTACCCTTCCTTGTTTCTGTATTTAGAGTAAAGGATGAAGGCGGAAGAAAATTTTTGCTTGAAACTTGTTTTGTATTGAATCTTGTGAGAATCTCAAAACACAGTCTTTGATTTATTTTTTTTTCTTTTTTGACCTATGCTAAAGTCTATATCTAGTGCTGGATATCATCAGGGGAGGTGTGATATGCTTCTGCCTAAAGAAAGCAGAGCATGTGAAGAGGAGATAGAGCAGGGTATGAAGGAAGAAGTAATGAGAGAAATTGAAAGAGAATGACTTTAATATATAGCTGCACTGATCATTTAGTCTTTTGTGGAAAAGAAAACAATCCTGAGCTTAACATGGTGATAAATATTCTTGACAACTCACAGAGGAAGAGGGAAGACATGCAACAGCAATGCCAACAAAACAAGGTTTATAGCAATGGTGTGTGACAATCTTTTCTGTGTCATTCCTCCGCCTAACCTGTGAGCTCTTTCCTGTGGCTCCACATGGAAGGGCTGAAGGGGTCATCCTGGTAAGGCATCTGTGTGCTGAGCTACATCACAGCCTGGGAACTGGCCTTGGATCAGAGCCTCAGAGAGGGGGTCTGGCCTGCCCCTACTCTCTGTCTGTAGGGAGGAGGAAAGGGCTGATGAGGGACTAGCACGTGCCGAGGGACAAATTGTTCTTCACTACAGGTCTAAGGCAGCATAATAAGATTAATGTGGGTGGTAAGATTTTTGTGTTGGGTTTCTTTTTCTTTCTTTCTTTTTTAGCTTCTGAAGCTTAAAGCAGCAGTGCTGTTTTCCAAGATTGGGATGACTGCTTCCTTTGCAGATTAATTGGCTGGATTGTCTCCAGGTTATTTGTTGTCATGACAATCTGCTTTTGAAAGTGACTGTGAGGCACAGGAGAAGAAGAGAGCTGTATTTCATGAAGTACTTACTCTTGTCTCTATATTTGGTCCTCCTGGAAATGTCAGAATAGAAAGAGGGTTAAGCAGAGTAATTCTGATTATATATGAAAGAGACCCAAACAAGGAAGAAAGAACTCTTTCTTATTAAGACAAGAGCATCCATGGATTGGGGGCTCTTTTATTTAAAGAAAAAAAGAAGTCTGAGTATGAGGTTGGGAATGAGGAGTTCCCAAAGTGTAATGCTGGTTGTGGGATGTGATTGGTTTTGCCCTTTGGCATCTCAGAGCCTCCCTGAATTGCAGTTTCACCATCTGGAAGTGGATGATGCTTGCATACCTGTCTTTCAAAGCAATGATTAAACAGTGTTCAACTGTTCAACTTCCCATCCCAATTTAAATGACAGTTCCTTCTGGAGTTTTCAGCTATGGGTATGTCTGTCCTGGCTTCCAAACACACCAACTACTTTGTGTTAATTGGGAGTTAGAGGCTACTGTGGACAGTCTTTAATTTCTCACAATTCTTTCTAGAGCAGATCTAATTACTGTAATTACAGTGTTAACATAGTACCCAAGAATCCTGGTCATTAAGTAGAACTCAAGTGCTCTGGGTACTTGGGGACAGAGCAAAGCAAATCTATAATGTGTTATAAAATGAAGATAGAGGGTTTTCTTCCCACTGGCTATGTTATCACGTCAAATGTGGTAGCTTTAGTTCAGTGTAATTGAGTGTAGTCTGACATGTGAGACTGCCCTTGTGTGCTATTTTTCTATCTATAAATGTGTTGATTTAGAAGTCACTAAGCTTCTGAACCACTGTATGATACTGTCATTATCACCATTTAACAGATGGGGAAAAGAGGGCATAGATCAGCTAAACAAAATGCTCCCGGAGTGCCATCCTGGCTGGTAGGAGCAGAGCTTCATCCATGCTTGTCTGCTTCAGGGGCACGTCATTAAACTTAATCAATGTTTGCAAACTGGTTTGAGATACTGTGATAACATGGGAAATAGAAGTGTTAATTATTAATTGATGCTTTGCTCTCCTTCTGCTCTTGGGTATACTGACAAGCTTTTTAAATTACCACCTCTTCCTACTCTTCCATGAACTTCAAAGGTGTCCTTTATCCTGCTGTCATTACTGGAAAGCTCCAGTAGCATATCAGTTTGGTTTGTGTCAGATACTCCTCCATGCATAAAGATCCTTTCATTCAAGAAGGGTCACTCTGCGGGCTAGGAAAACAGGAATGTGACCTCCTATTGAAAAACATACTGACCCGGCTTTGACATGGAACACTTAAAAACGTGCCATTCTTGGTGAATAATAGCTTTACTAGCATGCTGCAGTTTGGGATGAGCATGAAGAACTGCATTTATAAGCATTAATTTCAGTCATAAGTGCTAGCAGACTCATTTGAGAGGAGGGAGACAGAGTCCCCAAGATTTAGTTGTGAAAATGAGAGGAAGATCAAATTTTGCAGGATGTGTTCCTGCCCTCCTTTCTCCTTACCGCTTGTGACTGAGTGTTGCATGTCTTACAAAGGTTTGTATGTCATGGAGAAAGTGCCAGATTAAACAGTGACAATTTAGCAGCAAGTCAAAGAATTCTGCTCTTAATTCCTGACAGAAATTATTTGTAGCTCTTGTCACTGCCATGATAAACTTCAGGGCTGTTCCTTTAATCCTACCCCAGCTAAACTTTGGTCATCTCAGTTTTCCAGCATTGAAGTAGTATGGCCAAATACTTCCCTTTGTCTGGAATGTGGTGTATTCATCAAAGCATGTGCTTGAGTTTTTGGGATTGGATGGAGGATATAATTGCTTGGATTATCCATGAGTCGAATATATGAATTACTCTTTCTAGGGCGTTATTCCAGTTTTAACACCAGCAGTGACTGGAAATTTCTGCTCCTGGTCTGTACTTAATGGATCTTAATTCAGTAAAGTTCCTCTCCCGAGGACCCCTGGTGGTCTAGTGGTTAGGATGTGGCGTTCTCATGGCCGTGACCCAGGTTCGATTCCCGGTCAGGGAACTCCTCCGGGCGGATGGAGCTCGTCAGCCCTGTAAGGCCATCCATCTAAGAGAAGATCACTCTAAACAAATCTACATCCTGAGGACCTCGCTGCCACCGTCCAAGCTCGCTCGGCCCCGGCAGATGAACCTCAGGATTAAAGGGTGGGCTCAGTTCAGCACACACTGTGTCTCACCTAAAAAATCCACTGCGCAGGCTCAAAGGGTAATGACCTTTCCCAAATCTTTGCTCGCGAAGACTGGCCATGATGATGATGAAAGTTCCTCTCCCCCACACACTTCTTTCTCTTACCACTCTAAGATCTTTCCATATGCCTCGAATTAGCGGACAGTGCTAATCATTCATAGCATCTGCTCTGGGTGTACTCCGCGGGCCTGCTTGTTGTTGGGGGGATTTCCTGTTCTGTGACAGGCATCCACTCAATTGGAAAGGAATTTCTCCTTCTTAATATTTTCCAACAACTGTGTAAATTTGTTCAACTCTAGGACTGTATTTAATTTATTCTCTCAGTTGTGGAGTTTTATCTAAATGTGTCCTCATAGTGCTTCTTTCATTAGTTTCTCCTCCATTTTGTACTTAGAATTTAGAAGGCTTTAACACCAACAAAAGCGCACTGGATATTTTGATTCAAACTTGTTTTCCTTTTGTGGCCCTTCTTTTCTTTCCGTCTAAGTTTGCTTAATACCTTCACTAGCTTTAACCCTGTTGCCTAGGAAAGGGAGTTTTATTGCTGCTAGTCTGTATTCACTCTGACAGCTGCTGGAGAGAGAGGCTCTTGACTTCAGTAGTGTTTCTGAAATTCTAGCTCTGCAGTTGTTTGTAAACAGTACCGTTGCAGTCAGGTTATAAACTAAATGCTTTAGAAGTGTTCAGAAGTTAATTCTTGCCATATGTTTCTACAGTGTATTTGATAAGGTCCACTGTTGCACATGTGGGTACCTCCTTCTTTTATTTTTTGCATATCTTTTCATTGAATTTGCATTAGGATTTTGGTATACCCCAGTATTCTAAAACAGGTTTAGAAGCATACAGAGTTTAAAAGTCTCTGCCCTTTTCTCTGTAGTATATATAAATTGCTGGTATAAAAATTGTCAGCATATGAAAAAAAAATTCTGACCCTGTGTCAAATAAGTGGAAAACCCTTCAAAATGTTAACTTACTAAAATTAATTTTTAGGTGATAATATTAATTCCGTAATGGTAATTTCTGTGGATTAAGGTATAGAAAAAGTTGGAAGCATACTGGCTGTAGAGGTAAGCACTATGGCCATTGCTACCGTTTGCATGATGGTGTTGCAATGCATATTGGATTTTAGAATGGACAGCCAAGTGGAACAGACGTACTCTAAATTTCAGTGAAATACCACAAAACCTAAATTTTGAAACAAAAATAGCTCCCAGAACATCTGACTCCATAATGATCTTCTGACTAGCCCTTTGGAGGTGGTAAATTAAAATTCTGAAATTCCCAAATGCTGTGGTATCACTTAAACATCCCAAAGCTTTGTAGTGTGATCCTGGCAGCGTACGTTTCCTTTTATTGAGTCTCTCTTTGGCTCATTATTGACTCAGCTTGTACACTGAAGCTTGACTCACAAT